CACACACACAGGCAGGGGTAGGGAGACTGCTCTGTGCTTCGGTGCCAGCTCTCCTCAGGGGCCTCCTCTCCGCAGCCCCTGAATGCAAGCACTCATTTAACAAAGGGGGGGAAAGACCAGAGGAGGAATTGAGTTTCTTTCCGTCCCCCTGCAGAAGCCCCACTGCAACGCTGCCTGCCCGCAGCCTGAAACCGGAGCTGCCAGGGCCCCTCTGCCCAGCCGAGCTGAGGCACGCCAACCGATAAGGCTCAGCCTCCCTCACCGCTGTAGAGTGCAGGATCAGTCCACTCCAAACCCGTGCCACAGGTCTGACACTGGGGCTTCTAACAAGGTGGGCTCATGCCTGTGCAGGCAGGCTGTGACCCAGGGCCCACGTGAGGTCAGCGCAGCAGCGCAGAGGGGTCCCCAGACAGCTACAAACCTGGACACGTGTTTGCACAGGCATGTGCAAGCCCCATTCCCCGGGGCAGCCGTCATGTCTGAGCAGGGCTCCCTTTTGTGCTGGCAGGTTGGGGGCTGCTCCCCTCCTTCAGGCAGATGAGGGGGCTGGAGGCAGAGAGGGGCTGTGCCCCCAGAGCTGCCCTCTCCCCTTGCCTCTGTCGGCTGAGTCTCCAGCCAGGGCAGCTCTGCTCCAGGCACTGTGCAAGGCCCAAGCCTTGGCCAGGACCAAGGAGGAGCGATGCTCCAACAGCAGAGCCAGAGACTGTCTGTACAGCATCTCCATGGCAGCTGGACTGCACATTGTCTGAGGCCGCCCCCAAGCTCCACTAGCCCCAGCAAGTTTGCACCCTCCGGCTGGGCTCCTACCCTGTGTCCCAGACCCACAGATTGCACCTTCTCAGCTTGTTACTACATAGGCTCTGCTACAGTCCATCGCTATGAGCCTCCAACAGACAGATGCGACCCCGTCCCCCTCGCTGCCAGTGTACCAAAACATGGCCTCAAGCCCCCTTCCCACAACTCCTCTGCCGGGGCTGGCACAACTCCCTGGCACCAAGGCATGTCTCAATTAACTCAGCATGTGAGGGAAAGGGTCATCACTGCCCGCTCCTGCTCCCCGCAGGTCGGCTTTACCCGCTGAGAGGAGCTCCCAGTGCCCCCATCATGGCCGCCCATGGGGGAGAGCAGAGGGAGCCCTGCAGCTGGGAGGGAGCTCACAGCGAGAATGTCCTTGCTTTGACCCCGGAGGGTGGGAAGGGGGAGACGGGGATGAGACATTCCAGCCCCTCGCTTCTAATTTAATAAAACAACAGGGAGAGAAGTGCAGGGAGGAGAGGGATTTAACCCCTCTGCAGCTGGGCTCTGCTGGGCAAGCATGGGTGCTTCATGTCAGCTCTTCTCTGTCTGGCAAAGACCCCAGCCAAAGCACCTTTGCTCTGCTCTCCTGCTGACCCCACTCCTGCCAGCCCTCTGGTCCCCCCAGAAAGCCCCACTGCCAGCCCTCCCGCCGTCACCTGCAGGTCCGTCTTCATGAGTGAAGCCCCGGCCTCCACGATGTAGTGGCAGATAGTGCGCTGGCGTAAGGCTGCAGCCTGGTGCAAGCTGGTTTCACCGCTGGGGAGGAGAAAGCGGGAGATGTGAGATGTCACCCCCGAACGGGGACAAGCAGCACGTGTGGGTGGCAGCTAGGGACAGCAATTTGACTGCAGCAGGAGCTCGCAGTGGGTTGCGTGCTTTTCCAGGCAGCCCTGGCAGAGGAGGGCGTGCTGCTTGGGGCTAGTCAGTCCAGAGTGGACTGGGAACCATGGCTGGTAATTAGAGTGAGGGTAGCTGATAAGTGCCCAGACAACCAGTCACCTCACAGAGGGTCTGGCCAATAGGTAATGCAAGTCGGTCAGCAACTTACTTCTCCTCCTCTGTGGCATCGAGGATTTCTGAAGGGGCTGTGGAGAGAAAGACAGTGCAGGATGAATGAGACCCGGCTGCGGGGCAGAGATGGACCCACCTACTCCCCAGTCGCACTCTGTGTCTTTCCACAGTGGCTGCTATTTCTTTCCATGCTGCCTGCAAAGGTCCTGGCTCCAAAGCACTCAGGCCAGCAACGGCATCTGAGCCCAGCTGAGATCAGGGAAGAAGAGTTGTTGTGGACTCATTACAGAGAAATATCTAACTAAAAATAAAGCAGCCTCTATTTCAGTGGGAGCTGCCAAAAACAACAGGTCAGCTGCCCTGAAGGTAGAAGCAGGACACTGAGAAATGTTTCCCAGAGACATGCTGGTCCCTGCCAGAATGTGGCAATGGCCACGGGGGCACCCCGGTACTGGCAGGCAGATGCCAGGGAAAGTCCATACGCCAGGAGGATGTAGCAAACCCAGAGGGAAGGGATCTAAGCCCAGGAGGACCCCCTCCGAGCAGAGGGTCGGCCTTTTCAGCTGCCAGGCTCCTTTGCTAAGGGTGGCACTCTGGCCCCAGCTCACCATTCTCGATGATGTATTTGACGATGTCCTTGCTCCCTGATTTGACAGCATGGTGGAGGACGGTCTGGCCCGAGGAGTCTCGCACCATCAGGTCTCTTCCAGCCCGGTGCAGCTCTTGGAACTACAGGATTGCCAGATTGCTTGGGATGAGTTGCCTTTCCCAGCTCCAAGCCCCGGCATCATGTCCCCAGGGTGCTCGGCAGGTTGTATGGATATTTGGGACCTGGCAGGGAGCTTTGTCCAGCTCAGCCACACCGCCAAGTCCCTCCCTCCGTGTCCCCCAGACGAGGAACAGGGCTTCTTGCCAAAAGCCTGCCTGGTTTCCAGCCACCGCTCCAGGAGGAAGGCCCTTGACAGGAGCTGCTCCAGGGCAATTGCGGAATGCAGCCGGCAGGGCTTCCCACAGCCCAAGGGGGACGCCAGCCGAGCAGGCTGCGGGGCGAGCACCCAGAGCCAGCCCTGGCTGCACATTGCAGCAGGAGCGCCTACCTTGCTGAAGTTGCCGCTCTTGGCAGCTTCTATCAGAAAGTCATCTGCAAAGAAGGGAGATGGGTTGGGGTCAGAAAAGTCAAGCTGTAATGCCGTTTATCTAACCAGGTAGGCCAAGGTTTGGGCACCGGAGGCTCAGCAGTCAGCTGGAGCTCCTCCAGGGGCTAACCCCTTGGTCAGACTGATTTTACATGGCTCCCCCACCTTCAGGCATGTAAGGGACAAGGCAGGGGAAGAAGGGAGACCCCAGGTAGCTGGGGGCACAGCCAGACCTCAGCCCCAGGGAGGTGTGTATGCAGGGGGAGTGATCTCTGCCCATGGGCAGGATGACTTGTGATGGAAACGGGGAGCAGATCTGGGCGTCAGCCAGCGTTCGAGATGCCTCTCACCCATGACTGACTCACACTTCCAGGCACTGGGCTCTGCTCAAGCCCCAGGAAACTCTTTCCATTTGCTCAGCTCGGCGAGGC